AATACCTTTCTGTCAAAAGTGTGTTACAGGAATGTGGAAATGGCTGAATGCGGTTTGAGCGCATAAGAGATTGTATTGAAATGGTTATTGGTATGGCATCCCCGTTGCAATGTATTAAGGCTCTTGCTTTACTGAAGCAATAAAAACACTTTTGTATATATAGCCGTTGATGGTGTTTTGCATTGCATTGTTTTATATTCATGGCCTAGGAGTGTTTTTTTTTCAATAGAAGCATTTGCTGTGATTATGACATTTGTGTTGTAAACGAAACACATTCAATGCACAGAGAAAGAAATAGCGAGACTAAGGCATTATTTTTCTGCAAAAAAAAACCCAAAAATGTTTCTATTTTTCTGATGAAGCAGATCGACAGTCAAAATGTTTTGTGAGTTGCTTCAGTGCAGACATCTATACAAACATATCCATGGGTTCTCTGTTTGAGGTTGATTTCAAGTGCTGCAAGAAAATCAGTCTGACAGTTGGATGGTAACTTCGCTCCGGGCTAAGACGGCTGGAGGAGAAGGAATCCTAGACTAAAATGAAAAAAAATCTGAGCCCATGAATGATGAACTATACGGATAATTTGGAGAAACAGTGAGAGTCAGAAAGGGGAAGGAAAGGAGGTGAGATGTCAGCTGGCTGGACAGCAAGGAAGTAGAGAAATTGGACAGAAAGAAAAAAAAAAAAAGTTCGGCAGATGCCTGGCTGTGTGGAAGAGCAGTGCATAATAACTCAGTAGTGGAATCCCTTCCTGAGAACGCTAATAAGGCCTCTGTTGAAAGACACGCCACTCCGTGGGGAGATGGTGGCATGAGGATGACTGAGACTGGCACACTGAATAATACAAGATTAACAGCACAGGGTCTCTTGTTGCAAGGATACAAAGCTAGTGAGGAAATGTCCAGGAAAGTAATCACTTGCTCCTTTAGTTTTAATGAAATGATTTCACTGTGGATGGAAGAATACAAGAAAGAGGAGAAAAAAAAGGAGTAAAACTGGACTTTTTTTTTTTTTTTGTACCCTAGCTGCAATATTGATAACCCCACAAATATCTGCAGATTAAAGCAGATGTTTTTTTGTTTGTTTGTTTGTTTTGCACCACCAATGTTTGGCCACATTTATAGCAGTCAAGAAGTCAAGATAAATTATTTGAACATGGATGTCTCAGAGGAGTTGAGATGCATGTTGCTCTCTCAGCGGGGACCAGGAATTAAATATTTATTCCCTTTTCTGTCAAGACTTTGAAGACAGAGAAATGTACTGCCCAGCATCAGAAAGATTGGTCGCAGGTGAAGCTAGCGTAGTTTAGCAACGACCGTGGGTTTCTTTGTGAGATGTCCCTTTGAATTCTAAACCTTGCATGTCGCCATTTTTCTTTTTCACTTCAATCAAAAACATAATCCTTGAATCAAAATAGAATAATCTTTGGGGCTCCACATATGATATTCACTCAATGAGCGAGTATCTACTTTCTTGCCTCATGACTATGAGGCAAGAAAGTAGAGTCGAGTCGAGTCCCGTGAATACCAAGTCAAAGTCCAGTCTCTTATAAACTTTAGTCGAAACGCAGAACGCAAATCCTAAAATTGGCAACTTGTGTCCGACTCATGTCTCCCATCTGGTTATATGGGATTATTATTTATAGAGATAATAATGGGGCATTGCTTTATATTTTGAATCTATGATATATTTCCATTTCCAAAGTTCATTGTAATAAATATTTTACGCACCATAAGCTGCACCTAAAAGCATTCAATTTGCTCAAAAGCCGACACTGCGCCTTAAAATCCGATGTGCCTTATACAGTATATGAGATTCTGATGCATAACACAGCCCTAGCCCTACTGTAGCTACTATTCTACGTGCCTTTTAATGGGCTGCGTCCTATATATGAAACCAGTTTTGAAATAGGCCATTCATTGAAGGTGCGCCTTATACTCCGAAGAGCCTTATAGTGTGGAAAATATGATCCAGTGTTATGAGGTTGAACTGCTTTTACAGCACCACCTGGAACCACTGCGCCATTAGCTTTTGTCTACAAAGGCTAATGGGTGAGCTGGCCCTGACTGTTAACATCTTTTGTAGATATATGTACTGAGAATACACAACAAGTATTCAAGGATGTTTTTGTGATACAGTACAAGCATGCCACATACTCTGGACAAAAGTGTCCTCGAGACTCTTCTCAAGAAGTATTTCTGAACCAGCTGGTACGCAAGAACGTTGCAGAGGGTACATGGAAACGTTTATGAATTTTGTTTCCCAGACGTGGGGCACAGCGACGCCAAAATCAGAACAGTCGCATGTCAACTTAAGTGTCTCATTGAAACTCAGATGACTGATGAAAAGGACGTAAAACTGCAACAGTGGGTCTGAATATTATTCATGTTCAGGGCTTTGTTCCTGATATTTAAAGTTTAAATGCTTGTGTGCTGTCCTCACTAAGACGTATGGGCATAGTCTGAGCTAGACAGCGAGATCAACTCTGGAGAGATGATGCAAGACATCCTCATTGTTGTTTGTAGCTTTTAATATAAAATATTGACATCAATGTGTGGCAGAGTGAAAAATGCGGGCATGGATTCAAAGTGTTCTCTTTTCCTATCACCCCCCCCCCCTTCTTTATGCATATATCACATGGTCCCCCAACACTTTCTGATTTACGTCGTTCGCAACAAAACAAAAGCGAATTTTTCAAAATTAAGAGTTGGAATAAATTAATAATAGAACCACAATTCACCAGAAAGGAGGGAAAGCCTTTTTAAAGAAGCTTCTGGGTTATTATGTTTTTAAGGTAAAGGGTATAAGTGTTACGTATAACAAAGGCTGTTTTGTTTATTTATTTATTAATTGATTCACAGAATTAAATTTGGAATTACAGAAACGAAATAAAATAATTTTCATGTTAGAATCAGTTGTGTTATGTTCGATTTACAGAGTCATCAAAACGTATGAATGAAGGGGAACTAACAGTACTACAGTTTGGGGGTCCACGAGACCAAAAAAGTCTGGACCCCCTGTTCTAGAGGGTTGTATGTAACGTACAGAACTTGCACACCATCGCTAATTTTTTTACGTGAATTGGGTATCCACATTTCGGACATCCCTTGAATTTAAATATTTTTAAAATGACAAAAATGGACATTGATATTTTTCGCAGGACAGCGACAATATACTGTACCAATGCGGTATGTAATATGAACCAGTCGCTATCAATGAGGAGCACTCATCTTCCCATTCATCTTTGTTCTGCAGGGTCAGGCAATTTTCCATACAGGTCGCTCATCTTCCCATTCATTGTTCTGCAGGGTCAGGCAATTTTCCATACAGGTCAAATACATAGCTGTTAAGTGAGTGTCCTGCTGGTCCTATATATGTTGTTGTCGAATATGTTTGTTTGTGTCCTTCCTTATATGGTGAATGCCAGTAGTAGCCGATGGCCTGCTCTCTGTTCACTGACATTTAACAAAATTGAAGCAGAGTAGTGATGACTGACAGTCAAAAGCAGAGGGCAGAAACATCTATCAGTCTTTGTCTGAAAAAAAATAGCACACTACATCAAAACCAAATGATGGAGATGGACATTTCTGGACATACCACATGACAATTTGTGTATTATCCCCTTTTGGTAACTCCATACACTACCATTTTGTGACTGTATGAGTGTGACATTCTTCAGAAGCAAGAAAAGAATTTTCCCACCATAAACCAGAACTTGGCAAAGTATAGCCTATGGGCCATATTTGGTCTCCGATACATCTTTGCAAAGTCTTTGGCAGCATGTCAATGCAACGCAGTACCGTTTAATCAATCCCACTCTATCCATCATGTAAGAGTACGTCAGCAGAAAAAAAAAAATTACATCGCGTGTGTTAAGATAGGAATTTTGTGAATGTTCATGTCTAGATATCGCTACTATAACGATAAATTCTTCAGCCACACAGCAAATATGACGAGTTACAGTAGGTGCGGTTTAATGTGTCAACAGACTGACATCAACAAGGTCACACAAATGCATACAGCTTTTTGCTATTCGGTATTCTGTGCATCCAACAGCACTGCAGTTGGGCTTAGTGTTTTGATTTTGGACATGAGAGTTTGTAGGTGTACCTTTGCTTGTAAATGGGGGCTATTTGCTTAGCCTAATAGCCGATAATGGGTAAAGGAACTCAGTGATGGGGCAGCATCCTTTGCTGTCAATTACAGGGAATCTGAACTGAAACTGGAAAACATTTTTGGCAATGAGAAGCTCACTAAGAAATGTTTAGTTTTCAATCACATGCTCACTTTAAGTATCTTTCAGTATTTTTTTTTCAGAACCATTCAAGGGTAAGAATAATTTCCTATGATGATGTTCATCCATTAAGACTCTTGAGACACTCCCCTAATTTCACCAACTCAAATGACTTGCTCGTCCTAAAAGCCATGTGCAGATGCAGATGCAGATGCGACATTTTCGTATCATTTACTCCAAGAGTCACACAAGTGGAAAAAGAAGTGACCCACTAATGTAGTGTGAAATAAAACACATTTACATATGATAAGAAGTGAGCCTGCATATCGACAGTGGCCGAACAGTTGAAGTCAAATCCACTAGCTCAACTTCACCTTCACTTTCACCTCACTCACTCACTCATTTATCCACTAACGGTGGTCCTGTACTGCTTAATATTGCATCATCTCTGTTGCTAAAATACTTTCTAACGATGGACTCTCCATTGGGATACATTGCTTTTAATGTCTGTCTGTTTATGTAAGACGAGTTATTTTTGGTACTTGGATGATGGCTCAATTGTGCACGTCCACCCTCCCCTCCCGGCCCCCATGCCGTAGTTATGAATAGGTTGGGTGCGTTAAAAATCAAGTACAAGTCACAAATGTCACCGCCGAGGTGAGTTGGGGAGTGTTCTTCTTGCTAGTTATCTAATTATTGATGGTTTAGCACCTAGCCAGCTGTATATAAAGGAAACAATCTCAGGAATAGAGAAATGACTACTTAGCACGGCATTCCTCCTCACCAGAGAAAGACACAACAGATTGCTGTGGAGTCAGTAAAGTCAACAATATAAACCCGCAGAACACAGCCTGCCCAATGAACTTAAACTATTCCGTTACTTCCTTTGTCCCCTAGATATCAAGCCATAAAGAAAGCAAATGCCTGCCCCGAGATATGCACTATTTAATGCTTATATTAGATGTAAAACTGTGCAAGCTCCATTAACGCTGGCCATCTGTGCTACAAACATTCTAAACAATTGAGTGGGCTGGAATGTAATTTGCCCTCCTCAGCATGATAGGACATCAGAGGGGACAGAAATCAGAATCTTTACTCTGCATGGTCTCCAAAACACTGCAGCAATAAACTCATTTATTTAAGAAATCCCAGCATGAGCTCCACCTTTGCAAACTATAAACTCCTTTATGTAATTGCACCAAGTGAAAGTTGGTCGTATATGCAATTGTAACTGTTGCTTAAGGCTTGCAGTACACACACACAGTAAAATATCCATAAATTCACAGCATTACTAAACCAATGGGGAACAAAAACCTCAAACTTTCCTATTTCCAGCAATTTTCTGCATGACTAGAGTTTGTTGTTACAGTTTAAAACTTTGCTTATATGCAACTAGGAAAATACATATTTTCAACAGGTTAAAAGGAGTTGACATCCATATAAATAAAAAAATTGCATACTCATAAATATGTAATCACATCCAACCCAACAATAACGGCATTTTTCATCTGGGCTATGTTGTTTTTTTTTTGGGGGGGGGGGCTGGTGAAATTTATTGACGGAAGCAATTTGGTCTGGCTGACAATGATGGATCGGTGTCCAGGCTGCTGACGGATGATGAATGACGCAAAATTTTGTACATTTTCCACCTGTGGTAATAATTAGACAACAAAAAGAAACGTGACCAAAAGTTAACTTGGAAACAAAAATAAAGCGCTAACTACAAAGGTGGGCAAAGAGCCAAAAGAGGAGAAAGCCTGCGTTAATTTATGGTTCATTATCAGCATGTGCCATCCTGGCTCAGTGAGGAATAGGCACACGGTGACAGGTGCCATCTGTGAAAATGAGCTACAAGCCTTTTTTAAGAGCCCCCTTCACGTTACATGTAAATAGTACTCAAAACGCATACACTCTCCTCAGGGACATTAATGGAAGAGAAAATTAGTGGCAAGGATATGAGGGGTGCATTCAAATCTAATGCGCTGCTTTAGATCGACTCACAACTAAAGAGCTAAGGTGATGGAGCAGATTTTGGCCCAATCCCAATACCACCTCTTACATCTCGTCTTGTCCTTTCCTCCTAGAAATGCGCAAGGACCGTGCCTCCTTCCTAAATAACATTCACAAGTTGGCAAAGCATCCAAATGTAAAATCAAGCCACCATTCCTTCTCTGCTCAGTCATGGCCATCTGTCGTTCGTGATTGAATGCGGGATTATGAAAGCTGCTCCTTGCACTTGTAGCGAAGCATTACTTCAACCGTTAGACGCTGTTGGAAAAAGCAATCACATGTGAACAGAGTGGGTATTGCAGCCATCATTATTTGCTCTAAAAATGATCTTATTTAATGAAAATAAAGTTTTGGGGGCCTGTATTATGTAGTTGTTTATTTTATAAAACGCACATAAAGAGATAGAAAAAGAGGAAAGCCATATTTTTTTTTAAATGAGTCAAGTGTCTTCAATCATGGATTATGAACATTGTTCTGAACAGATGACTGGCAATAAGGGATTTAAACCTTCTCCCGCTGTTCCATTTGTACTCTTGCTTCTTATTCTACCCTTACATCCAAATGTCATATTTGCATGTGCAAACTAGATTTGCTTTGTATCTAAAATCCATTCAACCTTGGCTGTGTTTGATTTCCTAAACGATGTCCCCTGTCATAAGTGCCATTTAACCCTTCGCCCTTGTGACTCAAATGCCTGGGGATCTAGAAAAAGCAGTCCTATTGTGAACCAATCTTTTAAAGGCAATAAATGCAGTATTTATTCATCTTCTATTTGCATAATATTTGCATACATTTATAGTTAAAGTGTGAATGTCATTTCCCAAAAGTACATCATAGCATTTTTTGCCAATGATTTTAATATTCTCCAGTTTGCATTAAAAAAATGGATTTTTGAATGATACAGCATGGGTGACATGGTGGATGAATGGTGAGCACGTCCACCTTGCAGTGCAGAGGTGCAGGATTTGATTATTCCATTGCGGGCCCCGACCTTCCCGTGTGGAGTTTGCATCTTCTCCCTGTGCCTGCGTGGGTTTTTTCCGGGTCCTCTGGTTTCCTCCCACATTCCAAAAAACAAGCACGGTAGGTTAATTGAACACTCAAAATTGTCCCTATGTGTGATTGTGAGTGTGAATGGTTGTTTGTCTATGTGTGCCTTGCGATTGGCTGGCAACCATAGTTCAGGGTGTACCCCACCTACTTACCCAAAGTCAGCAGGAAAAGGCTCCGGCACAACCGCGACCCCTATGAGGATAAAACGGTTCAGAGAATGCATGGATGGATATTGCAGCATAACTCACTCCAGTCACCTGTCAACATTAATTTCATATCATCACTGCTCTGTTGCTCGGATGTCGTGAAAGTGGCCTAAAAGTGTGGTCATGCAATTATCTCTTGTGTCAATGACGCACCAGATGGGTTGTTTGCCAAACAATTCATGGATTATTCACCAAATTTGTCTGATTGATGTAACCTCATAAAATAAATTGAATAAATAAAAGAGAGAGAGAGAGAGAGAGAGAGAGAGAGAGAGAGAGAGAGAGAGAGAGAGAGAAGCTATTAGTCTATCACATCCATTATCGGACAATCAAATCAAACACATCAATGTCACTTGTACTGATTTTTGGAGGGAAAATAATTTTTACACAAGTTTTTGAAGCACAGCAGAAAATCTATATTGAACCTGATATTTATCGGCTGACAGTGTGCACAACAATGAAATGCACACTGTCATACCTTTACCTGCTCTCCAGGTCATGGTTCTTATTCTGGTCTGAGATGTACGAGTGAAGACGACAGTAAACTTTGGATCTGTTATTCAAATCAGTATATCAGTATTCATTAAAGTGCAGATCTCTATTATATGTCACTAAACCCAGTCGCCTTGATGGATTATGACACTGTTCAAATCAGAAGTGAAGAGAGTGCAGACATCGACCAAGGTCCATTCAATATTTCCTGAGACTTTAATGAAAATGTCTTGATCTGGTCCAGGATTGATTACCTTCCACTTTAATTCATGCTCCAGTACTGAAGTTTCAACAGAGCTGACTTCGTCTTCACAAAAAAAAAAAAAAAAAAAAAAAAAAACCCACCAAAAAAAACAACTCAGAAACATGTTCAATATTACAAAAGTTAAAAAAACAAACCACACACACACACACACACACACACACACACTCAGTGTGAAAGTATGTCATTATACGAATGTAATGCATATTCAAGTATGAATATTTGCATTTACGGATTTATTGAATTCCTGAACGACAATGAAAAATTGACGGAATGCTTGATATGCGAAGATCAGCATTTGATGTTCTCCCCAACACCCTGACTGGTCGCCAGCCAATCGTAGGGCACATATCGACAAGCAACAATTCGCCCTCACGTTCTTATCTCTGATCTGTTAGGCACATCTGCTAACCACTACCAAGGCTAAGGCTCGAAAATGTATTAAATTTGTGGCACAGTTTTGCAAATCAATGACTTCATTTCATGAGTAACTTTTTAAATGTGGGGGCAACGACCCCCACATGCTACCACCATCTCCCCAACCCCAAAGTTTGATCCCAAAGAACTGAAGCGAGGCTTTTATTTAAAAAAAGTTTTTTTGAAAAATCCCCCTCAAATCTCCCAGTCTCCCAAGAGGGTAAAGAACGGTCCAACTCCTGAAGGAGCACCAGTCACAACTCCTTGTTTGTCTATGTGTGCCCTGCGATTGGCTGGCAATCAGTTCAGGGTGTACCCTGCCTACTGCCCGATGACAACTGAGATAGGCTCCAGCACCCCCCACTACTCTTGTGAGGATAAAGCGGATCGGAAAATGGATGGATGGATAAACTAAGTTTAAAAAGTACAAGTGACAAAATGGGAAACAGGTTGTCATATTATTATTACATTTTAATGGTCAGAATACAAAATGAGTCGATCATTGTCCCTATGTGCATTTATTTATTTATTTATATGCGTAGGGGTTGATTGAATCGACTTGATTGTAGATAACAAACACAACACTTAAATAAGAATGAGCATAATACGCTCCTAAGTACATCATGGAATACAGAAAGCAAATTGCCAATTTGTCAGGCAAAATTAATGCGGTGGAAGAAAGCTATGCAATAAATCTTGCCTTCATGAGGATTATAATGATGGGCTCATTATTGCCTCTCTCTGATTGAGGTGGTTATTTTAATGAGGATTTTAGAGGCTGTAAATTGTGGTGCTGTCCAACTGTGCGGGGTTACGACTTAGACATGTTTCCACAGCAAGACACTGGAACACAAATTGCTCCTCATGACCCTTCCACCATTAATATACTAATGCATGTTACAAAAATGACCTAATGGTTGAATGTTATCTCATAGGAATGGCGGCCTTTTTGGAAGAATTTAATTGGTGTATTATTTGAATCATTCTGGAACAACTTTTTCCTGAACTCAAACGTTTCTTTTTTTTACTCTTACACCTATTATTAATGAAGGCATGTGTCTGAAGGTTTTGATCAACTAAAGATAACAACTAAGAGGAACAGCAAAGAAGCTTAAAATGGTGTGAACAATCTCAATGTATCTTTTTATTCTAAATAGTGAATGTATGATGACATCGTCACAGTAGATTCCTATCACAATCTTAAACTGAAAATGACTATGACAAATGCATGCTTAAGAATGAATATTGTAAAATTAAATCAGAAAAAGTTCACAAAAATAAAGCCACATCATATCATTTATATGTCAATGCCAATCTCTTTTTAGGAAGTGCAGCATCACTCGTGTGCCTTCTTTTAAGGAAATAAAAGAGGCGAACAATTGCAACGGTAGCAGTTTGAAGAGGAAGTCAAGTCAAAAATGTGATTTGCAATGTTATATGTGGCCCAACTGGTCCAAACGCAGTACAGTGACTAGTATTTCCTTTGTGGAATATGACCTAAGCAGCAACACCCCCCGTTTTTATCCACCTCAGCAAGGTGGCCGTTTCGCCACTTGCTGTCGACTGAAAATGACTTCTCAGTAACTATGGCTCAGGTGACGACGAATCACAGCTCACCTGTTTTATTTGTTTGGTGATGTGATGTTCACAAGCTGAACCGTGTTCAGACTTGTGGGAGCGCATAGAACATATTATGGTGAGGAAATCTTTTGACTTGACCTCCCCTCCAAACAGCGTTTGACTCCATCTGAAGAGCACTGGTCAAGAGGTTGTTGAATGGATCTGGAAGGTGCACCACGCTACTTTATTTTTTTTCATGCTGCACTAATTTGCACATTTGCCGGAGTTTGACGCACGACTGAAAGCGTATCATTAGCTATGAACATCCACTAGCCAGAGGCAAAGCAGCACTACGTTTGTTTGGAGTACACATGTAGCTCGATCCCACTTCCTTTCTGGGTGGGAAGTTGATGCTTCTGGAATCAGAATATAATTGTACTGTTGCACTCTTCATAACGATTCTAATGCATCCATCCATCCATTTTCTAATCCACTTATCCTCACGAGGGTCGCGGGCGTGCTGGAGCCTATCGCAGCTGTCTTCGGGCAGTAGGCGGGGGACACCCTGAACTGGTTGCCAAGCAGTCCTGTTGCTAATACTGTAGAGTGAAAGTTACTGTAAATCGGCCAGCATTGTTGAAGGCCCTGGGCAGATTACATTAGATCAACATGGTAACACCTACTGTAGGGCCTGATTTGCTAAAATCCCAAACAGCTGGCGCTTTTGTGTTCATTCGAACAGATTGCACGGGCTGCTGGGAATAGGTGTACAAGTAGTGGCGACAGCCGTATTAAAAAAAAAAAAAAAAAGTTTTGCCCTTTGAGTAGCCATGATGCTTTTAACCAAGGAACATATATTATGGGAAGACATATACTGTATATTTGCGAGTATGTTACAGCCCAGGTAGTATTATGTCCAGTATAAGTTGTATTTATAGGAAACAAACCACCCAAGTCACGCGTTTGTTTTTGATCATCACGAGTGTGGGCCAGTGGATTTATCTGACCATCCTGTGTAAAAATTTGGGACGGGACATCCTATAACTCACAGGTGTCAAACTCAAGACCCGGTGACCAGATCCGGGCCACCACGTCATTTTATCTGGCCCGCGGAAGCAAATCAAGCATATCAACTTGCATGATGCTTGCTAAAATCTCAACCAAAATGTAAAATTCTCATATGTAATAAATAAGAGACATATTGTAAGCATTTTCTTGTAACCAAACCCCTCATTACAGTAACTTAAACTTGGTTGAATAAACCGTTATTATTGTCTTTTTATATTTGGTTTCAGTCACAACAGCCCTCCAAGGGAAATGGTAACTAAAATGTGGTCCATGACAAAAATGAGTTTGACACCACTGCTATAACTGCTCTCAGAGAGGCCAGTACCGGTTGCAGAATTGAAAGGCGTTTTGTCATAGACGAGATGGCAAGATTCCTTTGTTGTGGTTCAAGTCAGCCTTTAGATCAAACCAGGGGAAATTGTGGCTCACAGGCCACACCCGATCCGTAAATTCGATGGAATTTCCATAATGCATGCACATATTTCACCTTTTCTGATTGTGTTTGTGTCGACTCTCCCTGTCCTTTGCACATGTTACGTAATGGAAAGAAATATTAATGTTTCCCATTCATCGCCTTGAGCTTGCCAAACTACACGAGCCACTGGAGAATGGATTCCACTTGCCTTGGCACGCTTGCTGCTAAAAGAACAATTTTGTGTCATTACACCTGACGTATGCGCTCTACCCACTCGAGAATTTGAAAACGGGTAAAAGTTTTTCACCGTGAGAAACACTTAGATTGTGAAGCCTTCACAAATTGTTGCGAAAAAGGATGCCTTCAACCAGCAGAGGAACACAATGTGTACCGGTTAGAATGTCCTGAGGATGGGCTGAAAAAATAAACACATTGTCAGCCAGGAGCTTCGCTTTGATTTTGTTTGTACCCACTTCAAACAAGACAGCATTGAGAGAAATCCACCGGGACAAAAGAGCATTTTTGACGGTTCTTCTCGCTGGATCCTTGAGAGCTGTGCTGTGATAGAAGTCTCAAATTGGAAGCCATTTACCGATGTTGAGCTGCCATGATTCTGCCGCCTCAGGATCCCAAATCGCAGCTTCCTACTTCAAGAAGTTCTGTCATTGTTTTACTTGCTTTTGTTTGATGATGGCACATAGACACCAAAACTCTAAAGGTTGTACTACATAAACCATGAGGTCATACTTCAAAAGAAAAATGCATGTGAAAGTGACTAATGTTGGTTATGTCATGGAACAGTCCTAATATTTCCAGTGGGTATGTTTCCAAAACCCTATTTTGACAAAAGAAAGCACACACTTTTAGTGGAGTCATAGAACAAATACAACAAAACAAGACATGAAAAAATGGTTGAGAACCAACCAATTTAAATATTTCACAACCCGAGATAGGATATCTTGGCAGCATATAAAAGCATTCATTGTGTATAATTCATCATTCTATACAGTTATCGGGATCTTGTGGTATAATCTGTGAGCACCAGTTGTAATAATGTTGGTGGTGTTTGTTGTATGCTGAGTGACATTTTGTTACTTTTCAAGAGCTTTGCTTTTTTTTGTTGTTGTTTTTGTCTTTTGTTTTGTCATATGGTGTTTGTTGACCTTGGTGTGGACCCGTTGTGAATTGTTTTCAGCGTTTGGGCAACAACATTTATCGAAGGAGAACAATCAGTTCTTGATGGTTGCGCCTTCCTCGGCAGCACGCGTGTACCAGCACTGATTTTAATTTCGACGGGGGGAATGTCAGTGCTATTTGACTGTTGTTGTTCAACAAACCCGGGCGCGTTTGTTTTTTGCGCCTGTAATGGGCAGTATTTTTCACGGCCCCGTTTTGTTCAGCAGAGATGTCGGCACTGTTGGACAGTATCTGTTGGTGCGGCTGGATGGATGGCTGCCGAAACTGAGGATGAGGAGAGAGCAGTGTCGTCGTGGAATATTGTTATGATTGCATGACTGTCCATCTCCCATGTGTCGTGTTATATGACCGTATTTTATGTTAACTCTTCTGTAAAGCGCTTTATTACAACTGCAGCCATTGTGAAAGTGTTATATAAATAGAGATGTATTGTAGGGTAGTGCATTGTATGCTTACATAAACTCACAGAATGGATCAAACAGGAGAATGCACTCCATACACATTATATAGAACACGTCGGCGTGAGTGCATCAGAGTACAACATTTGGATCTCTGCTAGCTACAACTATATAGCACGGCCTGATCCGAAAATACTTTATTTTCACTTCACATTAAGCTTACAAGTTCCACCTTCAAACTATAAATGTCTTATAGATGATTTGATTTTGAAAAAGCTCAGTGGACGCCAACCACTTTGCAAACCTTAAAACTATCAATTGAAAAGCAACAACAAGACCTGTCACTGTTAGCTTGCGCATTTCAATAGCCACTCAAAAACATACATATGTGGCAAAGACATTTTTGCAAACAAACCAGACTAAATTGAACTTCTCTCCATAGTCGACAGTTGTCATTTTAGCATACTTCTTAGACTCCGATTACTCCCTTCCTATTCACCAATGGCACCACCGTGTAGCATCTTGGAACGTTATAGAAATATCTCCCAAATATGCGGGTATTCTGCAAATAGGTGAGTGTTTCAGCATGTAGCGATGTATAAGGTCCACAGGAAAAAAAAAAGGGGTGACTTCATGAATGGCACACTGGGCATATGCAGGGTTTTTCCGTACAACAGGAAGCACCACACTACAATGGATTGTGTTTCATGTTCACTGTATTCAAGCAACCTGGTTGCAATGACTACTCAGATGAAGTTTGTCTTCCAATCCTCATAGAATTCATGAGACCACTGGACCGCAAATTCATTAGCTTTTCACCAAATTTAGATATACAAAGCGTCACTCTTCCGTTGACTGTGCATGTGCAGCAGTTATGCGCACCCCGTGTCAATAAAACATCTGTGGCACGATGGGTCTGCCATCGGTGCTAGAAATTTCCCTCTTTCGCTGCTGGAGAAAGGAGCAAATCTTTGCATTCATCCTGCCACATTGTCCTTTCTCCTTGAATTTATCATTCAAGGGTCATGCATTCAAACCCTTACCTACTGCTGTGCAGAATGAAAGCTGTCAGGATTTTAACAATGCCCTCAGGAGACGACTGGCTCCCTTATTACCATTAAATCCCTGTCAGCTTCCGTTTTGGACTTTTAACCCAAGTCGGGTTTCATTACCTTAGCATGAGAGAATAACATTACTCACGGGTAAAAGGGAAATTGGATGAACATTTCATGTCACGGTTTTCATTTCCAAATGAAACAGTTTTCATGATCAGTATTGATCATAATACAGTGGAGCCATGAGATACAAGAGACCCAGTTTAGGAATTTTATGAGACATGTGCTGACATTTTTGGGTTTGACTTGCAAAATTTGAGATACAAGTGTAACGTATTCATTATTAACTCATTTGTCCCATAACTACATTGACTGATGTTATTTGTTTTCTCATACGATGTAGTTTTCTTCAAGATAAAGAGCGAGAAAGTCAATAGGGTTCCTTTTTTTTCTGCTATTCCCTCGCCAGTGATTAAGTTGGTAAAATTCAGTGTTGTAATATAATGGAGTGCACATACATTTGAGTGCTTGAAATTGAGTGAGGACTTGACTTAACTTGACTGATCTCAGCCACAGTGACTTGCAACATGCTCGAAACTATGAGGTCAAGACTTGAGACTTTCTTGTAACTTACGAGCACTTCTGCAAATAAGTCTGCCCCACATCCGTTCTTTGCCACAGCTAAATTGGTTCTGGAGGGATTTGACTGAACATGGTACGCTAATCAGTAAATAATCAGTTTCATATTTCTGTCGCTCCGCCTTGTCACTGTTTTAGATCATTTGTACTAAACTTACTCTATCGTCGACATCAACATAATACACTGTAAAATTTGTGTGTGTGTGTGTGTGTGTGTGTGTGTGTGTGTGTGTGTGTGTGTG